CTGTAAATACTGGGTGGTCGGGGTGGGCGAAACGAAGTATTATCAACGGCACCGTTTCAACCTGGAAGTGAAGCTGGGACGTCCAATCGGGCCCGGTATGGTCTGCGACCACATCGTACCTCATCCCGAGGGCACCGAACCGGATGACTCTTGGCAAAACCTCCAAGAGCTGAGCGTGGCCGACCACGTGGCGAAGACTGCTTTAGACAACCCAGACGCCAAGAAAGGTTGGACGTCCCACACATCCATCCCCGTGTCAACGGAGGACGTTTCCACGGGTCTCACTTCGGTATACACGAGCATCGCAGAAGCTGCTAGAGCCACTGGAGTGGGGGAGGACAAACTGAAGCGAATCATGAAAAGCGGGGGCGGGATGCAGAGTGGCTTTCGTTTTCAGATCGATCAGGACTACCTCAGACAACAGGCTACAATGGACGGAGAAATCTGGAAGCCCGCCGTATACAAGGGCACTGCGTTGAGGAACATTTTCGTCAGTACATCGGGCCGCGTGCAGAGTGCAACTGGCAGGCGCTGGTACGGAAAGCGTATAAACTCCTACATGTATGTGGGAATAAGAGGTGGTAGAAATTTACCGGTGCACGGGCTGGTGGCGTACACGTTCCTCGGGAGTCCTCCGAGTGACCACCACACGAGCGTCGATCACATCGATCGGCAGCCGTCGAATAATCGCCTAGAAAACCTGCGATTCGCGACGACGGCTGAGCAGGCTCAGAATAGAGACCGCACTCGTCCGGTTCACAGGATAGACGTCATGACCGGCCAGATCAGCGGTACATATTCATCCGTGTTGGAGGCTGTTCGGCAGCACGGCTTGAGAAACAACAGCAGTTTGAGAAAAGCACTACGCGACACGAGTATCCTGGCAGCCGGCTATAGATGGGTTTACGTACAATAGGTTACTTGCCCATCCTGACATTATACATGAGATCCGCGGGGAAATGCAAGAAAGGATATCCGATTTTTGTGACTTTGCTTATCAATGATAAATTTGATTGGTCCTCTCTATGCGAGATAAAGCTCGGAAGCTCTTCTCCTAGCACGCTTCGCTCGTCGTTCATCAGGCGTACGTCGGCACATCTATCGTACCACTCCTGGATGAATCTCACGGTCTCTGGAGTCTTGCGTAACAGAAGGAATCCGCCCCAGCATTGCGGCGTCTCTCCGTGTACCTCGGGGTCTGCACCCAAGATGCGGAAGGCGTCGTACTTGGTCCAGTGTCTCTCCTTGTAGCTCGGCTCCGAAGGCTTGTTCTCGAACAAGACCAGGTTTCGGGTCGTCAGCCAGTCCTCCGCGGCCTCCCTAAAGTCCCTCGTGAACACGTACAGAGAGTCGCAGTAAGTCACGACGTCTCCTTCCTCCAACTCACTCAGACGCTTAAGTATGCAATAGCTCTTCCAGCACCACGCTCCGAAGCCACGCGGGAGAGCGAGCACGTCCCTGTGAGATTCCCGGAACGCGGGGTCTAGATCCGTCTCGTCGTAGACCGTCGCGGTGTCGAAGCCGGCGGCTAGCGCGCTCTTGGCCAGCTGACGTGCGAAATTATTGTAGATCCCATGCGTACCGAAAGTTATGAAGTGCATCATATCTCTTTGCTTCGACGAAAAATATATCGCGTTCAATCATACGAGAGATACATGGCGCGAGCTCGTAAGAAAAAGGCGTGCGGACGCTGCATAGCTCCGACCAAGAACGGTGCGCGGTGCAAGAACAAGGCGGCCTGCGGGTCGGGCGACTATCGATACTGTAGAGTGCACCGTAAGAGACTCGAAGTCCCGAGGAGACGGAGGACCCGGCGCGAGAGGAGACCAAGGAAAGCCTTGAAGCCGGCCGTGCTTAAGACTGGGAAGAAGGTGAACTGGATCACGGGAGAGGGACTCGCGGAGCTCGGCGTTAAGCAGAATCTGTGCGAAGCCGGGGTCGACGGTGCTCAGAAGATGGGGCGCGACTTATTCGAGGGAGGGTTCTCCGTCACCGAATGGAAGAAAGCTATGGACGGTCAGAAAGGTACGGGCAGCATGGCCCCGTGCCTGGCGGCGGAGAGGTGCTTTGCGATGAACCTTTGGAAGAAGTGGGCTTTCGTGAAGCACTTGGGCGAGGGGGCGAGTGGGTCGGTGATCCTCGTCCGAAACAGGAAGACCGGCCAGAGGCGCGTCGCAAAGATCTCCAAGAAACTCGACAGAGCACGAGATAGAGTGGAGATGGACATGCAGAACGAATTCTGGCGCAATGGGTTGGCGCCGCGAGCGTTCGGACTCGAGCTCGACGAGATCAAGCACGGCCGTAAGCAGAAGAAAGTGTCGGTCGTCCTCATGCAACAGGTGGATTCCACGCTGTCATCGTGGCTGCGACGGGATCGCAAGAGGTGGGAGCTAGACGTCATGCTCAAAGTCCTCATATCATTCATCGACAAGATGCAGAAGAAGCGACTCGCTCACGGCGATCTCCACTGGGAGAACATAGCATTCAAGTACAGACCGGGCACGAAATATATCGGACGAGTTCTATTGATCGATTTTGGCTTCGCCGCCCGAAAGGGAGACTCTCGCTTGGAATTCGCGCAATTGATCCGGACGACGCACAAGGATTTCGGGCACATGACGAGCGCCAACGAGAAGTACTTGCGGGAGAGACTCATCGAGGAATTCAAGAGGAGATATAGAGTGAAAAAGGTGGACTATCAGTTGGTAGACGACATCTACCACGGCGAAGCCTGAGACGCCCGAAAGTGGCGTCCGAAAGGGCTTCCACAGACTTGTTCTCGCGGGGCGTCCAAACGGTCGGCTCGCGTCCGAAACCGCGTATACAGTCTGTTCAGAGTAAAATGGCACACTCGCCATAGTACTCAGCCGTATCTCGGGTTCTCACCGAGGTGCCTAGATGAACTCGTTTCTAGGCAGCTATGTCTTTGAACTATCTATCTGTCAGCCCCAGACTCCTGCTCTCGTGAACTCTGCCGGCCTGCCCTCGCCTCTCGCTATGCTCATACAAATCCAAGCTATGCTACGAGCTGCGTTGACGTCTCTATTCCACACCATGCGACAGAGCGGGTTAGTACACGCTCGCACGTTGTGGCACGTCTTGTAGCTCGTCCTCCCTCCTCCGTCCTCGTCCTCGCGACGCCCTACTTCGGTCACCGTCGGGAGTCCATCCTCCATCACCCGCTGCCTCTTGAGCACCGCGAACTTGTTGACGTCCGAGTGGCACGTGCTGCACACCTGGCTCGTCCTAAACTCGTCAATCAAGACCACCGTCGCCTTGTGGTGGCTGCTGAGTCGTCTCTTCACCGACTCGCATGGCCCACACTGCCTCTTGGTCCTGCCTGCATCCACCTGTGCTGCTCCGAAAGCCACCACGGTTTTCTTCCCTGCCGTGATTTTCTTGCAGGCTCTGTCCACCTCGATCTGTTTCTTGATCGTCACTCGCCGTCTCAGCTTTCGGACCCTCCTCGCGGTGTGGAAGCGTACCAGACAGTACAGGTTCGCAGAGACGAAGGTCACCCTCTTCCCGAACTTCTCCAGACTCACGGTGTTCCCCGAAGGAGCATCCTTGTTGAAGGCTGCCACATCCAGGTCTCTGGACATCCAGGCGTGCATGAGGAACGTCCGATTCTTGAATCCCGCTCGGTGGTAGAAGTCCCGGGTCCCCAGGCCGATGACCTCCTCCTGATGCGAGATGCCATCCCAGTCGCCGGTCACGGCGATGCCGGTGAGGAAGTCAGGATGCTTTCCTGGGTCTAATCCCACCACGCGCTGTTTGGGGTGGATGTGGACCATTCTGTCCTCCGGAGGGGGCGTCCTCTTCTCCACCGGGAAATACACGCTCGCGGACACTCCGTCCGTGGTGATCCGGTCTGCGAAGGTCTTCCCACCGCTCTCCAGCCGTCCGATGGAGGGAAAAGCATCGCGGAGCTCTCCCGGAGCCTTTCTCTTGCCGCTCTTTGGTTGCAGCTCGGGCCACGTTGTAGGAGTGATAGCGATGAAAGGTGCAGAGAAGGAGGCGTGAGGCACGAGGGAGAATGATCGCAGCTGTCGGTCCGAGGACTCCTCGCTGATGATCCTCATCCAGGGCACGTAGAGGTGAGGTCTGCTCTGGGACGCCGCAGGCAGCGGCCCGACTTCCGGCCTGACTGAGTCGACCAGATCTTGTAGGCACTCGATCGCAGCTTCTGGGATCCTTCCGTAGATGCGAGGATACTCCGGTAGCAGCTCTTGGACGCTCTCGTTCGGGCGCCACAAGGTGGCGGTCGTCAGCAGCCGGGTGCACGACTCCAGATCCTCGTCCGCTTCCTCGAAGAAAGGCACGCCCGGGGCTGCTTCTCTGAGGAGGAGCTTCATGAAGGCCCGGTGCCGTGACTGGAAGAGGACCGCGACGTGATTCTTGATGTTGCTGAGGAGCTGGTTGCGCAGGTCCAGGAGTACGTTGGTGATGCGAGGGAGGCAGTTGTTGATCGGACGGTTGGGGCAGAGAGGTAGGTAGTGGTGGTCGAATGTCTCTTGGAGTTCCGCGTCCGCTTGTGCTTTCTTTGCATATGTGCACTGCATCGCACGTCCGACCAAGTTCTGGTCGATGACGGGAATGGGCTTCCCTTCCTCCAGAAGGCGGATGAAGTGCAGGTTGAGCAGGAGGCAGGTCTCGATTCGGATGCGACTCACTTCTGGGATGATCTCTTCGATCCGGTCTCTGATCCCGAGGTCCTGACAGAGGGCCTTCTATCCCGTCTGTACCACGGAGGTCTCTTTGCCCTTTCGCTGTTGGATTCGTAGAGCGATGTCTGGGCGCTTCCTCTTCGTCCCCTCGAAGCCATCCGTCCCATCGTCCATCTGTGAATGTCGTGAGAAAGGAAGTTTTGTGGTATATATACTCCGAGCGAGATTTCTCTCTGACGGTCGTCCGAATGGGAGATGCTTCTGGGCTGTCTCTTTTCGGACACCTGTCGTTACGACGTGGCGATTTGGAAGGTTCTAAAGCTGGGGTTTCGGACGCTGGCGTCCGAGACGTTCCACGATACTCTCGAGAATCAGAGATTCCAGGTGTGTCTTTGTATTCTGGACAGACTGTAAGGAAGAGTTTTTACCCGTTCTCTCATGTAGACTTCCATCTCTGGCGGTCAGGACCTGTTTTCTGGAGAGATGACCGCCTTTCGCTCCAAGATGTTATACCCGTAGCCTTCGGCGTCCGAAAATGTTTCAGGGATACTTGCTTTCGGGCGCTTCCGCTGTGATGTGGCTGTAGCCGTCAGTACCCGAAAATGTTTTCGGACGCATTTTTCGGATACTGACTTTCGGATGTCTCTGTTGCGATGTGGCTATAGCCGTCAGTACCCGAAATTGTTTTCGGACGCATTCTTTGAATACTTGCTTTCGGATGCTTCCGCTATGATGTGGCATTCGGATGCTTCTAAGCTCTTGCTGAAGACCTTCAGACGCAGATTCGTCGTGTGCCATTTTATTCTGGACAGACTGTAAGGTACGAGGGCTTCATTCTGAGACATGGCAGAACGAGAACCCCTCCTCGAGACGGATCCTCACAGGTACTGCACCTTCCCCATCAAATACCCCAAGACCTGATCGTTCTACAAGAAGGCGGTCGCCAATTTCTGGACCGTGGAGGAGATCCAGCTGGATCAGGACGCCTACGAGTGGGAGCAC